TCTATTGATCAAATAATGAGAGACTTGATATGAAACATATAAGAAAAAATGAGACCCAAACATAGGTTGTAATAGCAAGCAATGTGATTATAACGACCATAGAATACATCTGGAACTACTGAAAGAGAATGTACGAAACCCTACAACTTCTTTTTATTTTTTCACTATGTACCCTGTCTCGTTTAAAATCAATAGCACTTAGAACCTATTCTAGTTTACCAAGTCAGATATCAACATTTGCAGTTGAAAGTAATATTACTGTATAGAAGAGAAATGCTTTATTAATATATCCTGTTTAACATTCATTAATTGGTGATGTTGCTTGGTGAGTAAGTCATTAATCTGCAAAATATCCAAATTTGAAAGAAATTAAGTAGACTTAAAGGTGTCTTTTATTTTGATATCACTGAGACATATCGAGTCGAGATCTGAATGAAATAAAATACCGTAGATTCCTTTTTTTTCTCGAGTACTTATTATCGCGAATTGGCTCTTAAACTTCAAATCGCGAGAACAATGTAGTAGTTATATGTGTAATTATATTTTATTTCCTTACTAATCTCTAATTTGTTTTGCTTCAGATTGTTAATGTTTTTGTCAAATTTGCATACTAGTATGTTTCTGTATAGCACCTAATAAGCTTGAAAACTTTTCAAGAATATTTTTGTCTTTCTTTTCTTAGGATTGTCCTTTTTAAATGCAAACTAATGCACATATTTCATTCAACTTTTAGGTCACAGTGTCAGATGTCGTATTTGGATTATTTTGCATGCATTGCATTTATTTTAGGAGTTATTTTTTTTTATGTCGGAGCTTAAACACCAAAATGTCTAACGGTGCACGAAACAGTGAATTCAACTTTTCCGCGCCTACAAGAATATGCAATTATGGCCTGTTTTACAGCGTTGATTGTCCAAACAATGAAAAAGGCGAGTCCCTTTTTGTATTAGAAATAAATAATTTTCAAAATATCCAGGTCTTCCAACGATCTGTTGGAATTCCCATGAAATATTGAAAAAAAAATCAGTCGATTATTCAGTATCTAAATTATGGTCTAGCAATAAATATTTGTAAAAAAAAAATGTCAGTCAGCATTTGACTTTCTGATTGGTTGTAATTGATGGCAAGGTCCTTGTATCGACCATTAAACTTACAAAGTGATGACTTTAAAATAGACTGCTGGTTAATCTTGTTTCAGATACTTGTTTATCAATGATTTACCTCGTTTTAGAAGCCGTTCATACGTTGAGCATACTCTAGCGTTTCAAATCAATTGAGAAATATAAACTCCGTATGCAGATTGTGAAGGTTTGAATAAGTAAGTGAAGATGACTATGGAAAAAAGTAACATAATCACGTTTATCGTAAAGCTTGGTTGTTAGATTATCAGTTACGTCTTTTGTAGTATTGTATCTGCATGAGAATTGAAATAACCATTGTTATTTGACAGCAAGTCGTCGATATATCGAGTTGAAGGCCACAGTTTTTTTTTCTTTTCACGTATAAGAAATTTCAACGAACCGTACTTTACATGAATACAAAAATTGGCGTTCTAAGAATGGTACCCATGGGAATTCTAATAATTTTTCAAAGGATCTCGATTCCATAAACTACATAGATATTGTCAATCAGAAACGCAAGCGTCTTGAAATATCAATTCAGAGTACTTGTGTCTACAAAAAGCTTTTTAACAAAATAATTTTGGCACCTAACCAATGACAAGTAAGTAAAATTTACGAGTTTCATTTTTATTGAAAAATATTATAAATGATATCAAAAAGACTTGACTTTAATTTATCGTGGGAGAATGTTGTTTATCAAATTAAGAAGTGTAATTTTATGAATTTTGTTAAAATTTTCCTATTGCTATTTCAAATTTTCCAAAAGTTCCTTAGTATTTTAAAAAATATATATCTGATTTACACCACATCTCGAACACTAGTATATTGATGCACAATACTTCTGAAGTTAATCATTCACTTCTGTTTATGTTAAAAGTGAGGAGTAAAGAAAGTGGCTTGGTAGAACATTTTTTGAAACCCACTAAATTTAAGTTATGCACAAAACACCATTGCACTTGCACTTTCATTTAAGAAAGTGAAGTAAATCTACACATACAGTTTAAATATTTACTTTTAAATAATGCAGTTTTAAAAATGACTGTTTCTTCCTTTGCATGTCAAAATCCAATCATTAACAAGTTAACGGTAAAATGCAGGCAAAATTATTTTCAAAACCTTATTTAAGTGGAGGATATTCTTTTATATCGGAAATAATTAAAGGAACATGGACACAGTTTCAACAGATTTTGATTTTCAAAGGAGATACAGATTTTCTACATAATGTAAACTAGGCTCGTGCCTTGTTTTTGTTTACATTTAAAAAAATATCATATTCATTAAAAATCGAAATTCAGTAAATCACTAGAAACTGTCTAATAGAATTAATTTCTTATCTGAAAGAATCTGCTTTGAACGAACAATTATTAACAAAATATTTAACCTAGATAAACACAAACACTGGCCCTCTTTACACAACAAAGGTTTGGAGCTCAAAATCTGTCCAGTTTCTCGTTAACTGGAATTCAAATTTTTGATTATCTTCAAAAATACTAAGTTAAGTGTTTGTAAAAATAAAACATGGAAAAGTAAAGTTATAATTTTAAGCTGAAACTGTGTCCATGCCCCTTTAAGTAGACTAAAAAATCATCTTCGTCGTAGGTAAATTTTCAAGATTTTATTTTGTAGCTTTTGACTGGACAATTATTGGACTAAACATAGCGACATCTGTAAGTCTAACGTTTATCCCATTTTTCTGGTGTCTTTCATGCATATTCTGTTGCTGTAAAAAGGAAGACTCGGACCACACATGTTGCTGCAGTTGTTACACGTTCTTTTACGCTTCTGGAGGTACAAATGGATAATAAATATACCAATATTATCCTTTGTGAAATGTTTGTAGAGACAATAGTCCTATTGTGTCATAATATGTTTTTGGAATGTCAGTATTAATATAGTTTCATATTAATCTTTTTACTTATAATATTGTGACAACATTTAAAGAGAATATTTAAAAAGAGTATTTAACACTTCTTGTAAACGTGCAATTGATTCCGCTATTAAGACTTTATTGTCTGCGTACATATCTGATTTTTAAAAAATCTATATGAACTTCAACTGAGGCAGATCATAAAAAGAAGTCTGATCTAATTGTTTACGGAGAAGCTGAATTTTTCATAATATCACCGAAATATTATTCGTACCCCCCCCCCCCCCCCCAAAAAAAAAAAAATCAATATCATGGCTGAAACTTTGCTTGTTAGTCAAGGCCTTGTGTAAAATTTAATCAAAATATTCATTATAGGTATCCTGGGTTTTATCTCAACTTTGATTGTTGTTTCCAAATATGATCACGACCAGTTGGGATGGTCTTTCTTTCTGACAGTTGCATCATCATCAGCGATTATGTTGAAGGTAAATGAATAATTATAATTATCTTTATTCATTAAGTCGTTAATTGAGGGAGATATTTATATAGCTCGTTATTAATTTTTTTTTTTCAGTTGGTGCTCTTACTTACCCGGTACTTATTTTGTCTGTTCACGAAACATGACTGAAAAATGCACGATATTCCTTGTCTATAGAAGACGGCATGATTATACTGTTATGTAAGAATCCAATCTTTTTGTACAATCTGAATGTGTATGTATGCATGCAAGAATATATATATCAATTTTCTTTAATAAGATGTAAACTGGTATACATTTCATAAAAAAAATTGACTTGTTACGATAAACTTCAGTTGTTATTGACAATTACACAGTTATTGCTCGATGGCTTAATTTTAGAATTATATTTTTCGATATTAATTTAAAAAAAAATACCTTTTGCATGTTTTGAATGATTGTCAATTATTCAATACTATTGCATTGTGTAAAATTATATAATGTATATAAATGAGAATAAAATACATCTAAGTTCAAAAGAAACATGGATTCATGTTCAAGTTATCTTTTTGATTGCATACTAGGATTAAAACCTCGATTTTGTGCATTGAACAATCTAGTGGAGACCAGCATCGCAAGAGTTTGATGCTTTGAGGATATCCACTCCTATGTACAGCATTTCTGTTACATGACCCAGTGCTTAGGCCAGATATGACCCAGTGCTTAACTTGAATTTATCCCTAGCAACACAGGCTTGTGAACAATGTATGCACTGCTGCCGTTATTCAAATATGTGTCCTTCCAATCGATAGGTCTTCTTAGTCTGATAAAATAGTATGTTATCTTTAAAAACCATCTGCCATGGTAATGTACATTGATTCTGAGGAGAAAACGATGACATGACGATAAATAGAACCTGTTCACTGGTTGTGTCACTAGTGTTGAATCTGTTGTGACTCACCTCCCCGGATTTGTTGGTCCAGGTGGCTATCATTGATTGGTGTAAAAAACTGAGCTACGAATCTTATTGTTTGTGATACAGTGTGTATGTACTTCAAGTGATTGCCCCTAAAATTTCGATGAAACCATGGAATAGCAATGGGGAAACCTATCCATTTTTTTTTATTAAAACGGAACGAGGAAATCACAAAGAAACACATTGATTCAAATGTCTGGCACATATGTGATATCTTGTTGGATGAATTTAGAAAACAGGCTCTGTAAATTTACAGATTTTTGTCTTGCAGATGAAAAAAAGGAGTGAGAGAATTTTTTTTTAATTTTGCATATTAGGAAATTATGGTTAAAAAGAAACTTGCATGAGTTCCGTATAACTATAAGATCACGCACTTTGCTCTATGCGCACATAAAGAATCTCCATTATAAGAAAGCAAAATCAGAAGTTCAGAAATCTTCCATATAGCCGAAATTTTATCTATCATGAATTTTTATTCCTCCGGTTAGAGGGGTGAAGTCAATTCAGAATTCGGATCCTTAATTGGGAAAGTTAATTAATTACTCAAGAACGAGAGTTGCAAACTAAATGTTGCACACAATGGATGCAACGCCATAATTTTTAAAGAATAAGTGAATTCCCCCCTGGCTTTGTTGCACGCAATAAAACATCTCAAATAGATTGATCGCAAGAACACAAGAGTTTCTCGAGCAAAATTGTACAGGTAAGTGACCATTACAACGACAGCAAGAAAGAATGCTTTTAAATTTCTTTTGTTTATAGTTGATAAGAAAGAATTATCTATAGCGTTTAATTGAAGCATATTTCCGTCGCAACTGAAATATATTTATTTAAAAAGTAATACCAAAAAAAAATCATTTAATCATTCAGAAGAGAAGAAACTCTACGATTATGCTTGCAACCATTAAATATGTACCTTTAGATTTAAACATTTATATTGGGTGTGACATTTTCAACTCCACTGAGTATGTTCAAAGCAGTTTTGTATACTAGAGACGTCCGAACAAAAGTTCATAGGAAGTTTGCGTCAATTTAAAAAAGATCGAATGGTATATCCCATCATCCAAAAAATAGACCCTATACAATTGTACTTTCACAATCATTTCTGCGAAGAGGAAATCTAGTAGTAACTTTTAAAACTTATCTATATTAAGCGCTTTGTTACCTCCTGTTATTAAACATTTAAATTAAGGTAAGTCTATTGTGATTTGATTCCAGATATCTTAATTTACATACGAGACATGCATATTAAAAAAATTCGCTTCATAAAATGCTTTCCTGTTTCAGTAAACACTACACAATTATTTCTGTTTACGAGGGGAACAGTCAAACTGTTAATCCGAGGTGATTGGAAAGACTTGGAAAACTGTTGCCGGTTTAAGGAGATATTCTCCTGGTCGTGAACACATTGTGGGCATTTTCCACTTTAATTTTTACCCTAGGTAAGAATTTAAGACTTAACTGAGCCTGAATTTATTTCATTTCTGTTGAATATATTCTACGCTTTTTCAAGAAAAGACATGCGAGTGAGAGTACTTGTGCACTGACGAATTTTAATTTAAAAAAATAATGAGGAGGTACATGTGCTGCAAAGTTATATCCATTTCAACAGAAGGTTTGTTTTGACACTTGGTCTTTTATATTCTATTTCGCATTTTTTTTTTGTATTTCAGTATGTCTATCATAAATAGTTTCGGACCACTTGCCGTTCCCGCTATGCTCCCACATACGTATGTGGGAGCATAGCGGGAACGACAACTCTGGATAGAGAATGACTTCATTCTGCCCTTAGGTCGTCAAAATTTGATTAAAAAATACACTCAAAACGCGAAAATTATAACCGAGTCATAAATCTTTGATTCAAATATATTTCACTTCGAGGTTTTTGTTGCCCATTATCAATGAGTTTTTCATAATCAAAACTTAATATTGTATCTCAATCAGAGAGAGAGAGAGAGAGAGAGAGAGAGAGAGAGAGAGAGAGAGAGAGAGAGAGAAAAAGAAGAGAAGAGAGAGAGCTAAACATGTTTGTCATCATAAATTAATGAGCTACTCTATTTTCATAATCAGAATATAGTAGGGACATAATCAGAAAAAAATCTCTCGTGCTTTCCATGTTAAAAAATGTACTCAAGGTAGTAACTATGTGCGTAATAAGATTTTCTTTAAGTTAATAACCTAATAAGAATCTGTATATTTATATTTTATTATGTATTGCTCTCAGATATTATTCTGTTCTCAAAATGAAGTTTGAAGCCCGCAAGTGTTTTAATTTTTTTTAAAAGCGTACTGAGATAAACGTCACCTTTCCCGTTAACAACTTGAAAATGTGAGAGGAGTATTGATATGATGAGTCTGCTAAATATCTTTTGTCTTAGGTAGGGCATGGTGCCAAGCACTTGCCTTTGTGTATTTCCACAAGGACACGGAATACAATACAAAGAAACATTACTGTGAAAGATTTTTAAACATACCGGTACAAACTGGAAAATGTCAACTAACCAATATAAACAATCATTATGCCTTAGACGGTGGTATTATTAACGGCGAACAAGACAATTAATTTGGACAACTTCCCTTACTTATGCTTATACAGCAATTTACCTTCATCACCTCCATACGGACTATATATCTCTCTTAGTTGATTCGATACGCAAGAGCATGCACTAAGTGCAATTTCTAAAGCAAGATAATTTACATTATTAACAAACAAGTTGATGAAACAAGAATATCGGCGATCTCGTTTAAAGTCATCGTCTCCTTAGTTCTATAGTCGATACAAGGACTTTGTCAGCAAATAATCAGTTATCATTGGGTCAAATGGTGATTGACGTTTTCATGATAATTGTTAGTTCATTATTTACACACTGACGACGGATTTTTCCTTTATTTCCCGATCATGAGAAGGAGAGGATGAGACCGGTCGGCAGGGGACACACACCCCTACATGCATATGGCAACTGATCCTGCCTCTGATGTTTCGGAGGTCCATGTTTTCTCTGCTCCTATTTTGTATTTAAGGACGTTCGATCCTGAGATTTTGAGCGTATTTTGGTCAGGTCCTTTATTTATAAAATTCTAACATTAAATCTGAATTCTACCGTGCAAATTTAACTATATCCAATGAAAAAAACCGCGATTAAATTCCATTCAAGAAGAATTAAGCTAGGGACTATATTTTGTGGCGGAAGTTTTTTTAGAAGAAAATGATCAGTTTTTCCATTTTGAACTATAACAGTACTGTTAATTTTGGATTCCTATTTTTCCATCCTGGCTGCACACAAATTTGTTTTTTGCAGTGAAATATGTTATGCTGGTTCTGAAATATCTATTAAATTATTTCTTATGAATTCTGTCAACAAAGTGTGACAAATATAGTCAATATTATTCTGAAAATCCGGGAAAAAATGGAGCCAATTTTAATGTAAAATTGACACTTTTTTTTAGTAATATCTGAAAATTTACATCACATACCCCCACTTTTGATGTTCTTTTCTAAATATTCAAGATAAATTTGACCTATTTGCTTAAAATCAGAAAAAAGTTTAAGGCTTTAAAATAATTTTCTTGCTTATTAAATTTTCAATGCCAGAAAAATCACTTTTTATTAGCGCAGAAAGGTCAAATAATTGATTATGCGAAGCAAATTGAAACTTTTTCTTAGTCACAATTTTTAAGTGTCTCTTTTTAAACAAACTTAGAGTTTATTTTGTTTCATGCTTTAATTGGATAAAAATATTTTAGGGAAAACTTCAAAAATTTAATTTTTAATTAAGACACAAATTTCAGTGCAAGAAGGTCATATTAAATGTACTGTAGCGCCAAAAGAAGCGCATTGACCCCCATTTTTTGATTTGAATTTTAATTAAGCTATGTATGTAGAAACTAAAAATATACTTGGCAAAAAAAGTTTAAGACTTTAAATATCAGGATCGAACGTCGTTAATGGACACCTGAGCTTGAATACTATTCGTAATTTCCATACATTTCATAAGGCTTCGTTTAATGTAAAAATAATAAACCAGATTGTCCAATTAAAAACTGTTAAAATATAATTCCTTTCAAATTAAAAATGTTATGATTGTGAAGTGACAACATCCAAATACATTTAACGTTTCCTAAACCATTCTCAGAAGTTTCCAATCAGTGTACCTTCTATAAATGTCATTAGGTTAGTAGATATGGAGAATATAAGTAGCATTTAGATTTCAATTACGTTCACAGTATAATTTGCTATTGCTAAATAAATGTTAAATGGCACACCTTTTTTTTATTAGAACCTCATACTTTTCAGTGTGCGATTCTCTTTTAATGTGTTCATTTCTCAATGAACAAATTTTTTTGTGCCTTCAGTATAGTTTCTTAATTTCTCATTTGAAATCTCCATTTTGTTTCGTTTTTGAGGCAATTTCTTCTTCTGTAAATTTAATAGGGTTTGGTTTATTATGAGGATTTCAACTCAATGAAAATAAGTTATTTGCTGCATGCTTATATTTCAGTGCTTACGTTTTTGTGAGATCCGTATCCAATATACAATGAAGCGCATTGAAGTGGTAAAATTTTCCGTTTGGATAAAAAGTTCTGAGTCATGTTTTGAACGTCAATTATAACATAATGACACGCCCATATTTTTAGAAACGAAAAAGAAATATTCGTCGTAGTTTTAAGACACCCCATTCTTCGCGACAAGCATCATGAGTTACACTGAAATGAAGATTTAAAAAGATTAGAAGAGGGAGTTAGAGACTCACGCTTCTGTAAAACACAAATTGCAACGAATATGTACAATTCTTTTTAACAGGTCTAGGCGGCCTCTGTTTTTGGAGGATAGATTTTATCCTCTAGAAACAGAGGATGGAGGTGTCGCCACCTACCGGACTTTTCAAAACAAAGGGCAGTCTAAACCAAACAAATAACAGCAACTCTTGCATCTCAAGTCCCAGTTTATGTACCGTACTCTGATTTTTCAACCAAAACAAATAAAAGGTTAAATTTCATACGATGATGGTTAAATATAGGTATTTAAATCATTTTAACAAATTTTGGTAATTTGCTGTCAATAAATTATTCATTTGAAAGCTTTGTTAAAGACCCTTTCCTGTCTGAAAATTAATTATAGCCAACCTCATTTTCCGGTACCATAATTATGTGTTAACAGCATAAAAGTTTTAAAAAACATATTTTTGAAAAATTCAGTTTCATTATTATTTCATTTAATAAGACGGTAGAGGAATTTTTCTTTGAAGTTTGCTCTTCTGCACGGGACTACAGTGGGCGGAGCTACTTTCCGTTCTGTATTAGTCTTCTATACTGTTGTATGTGTATACATCTAATAAAACTGAAATATTAAGACCCCTGAAATAAATTAGGATCAATCTCCATCTACAGCAAGGTTAGACCGTCCCCCTTATCAGTTAAGACTGACTTAAATTCAATTGCGTCTACCCGTTGTCAAAACTAATCTGACTGAAACTTACGTTGTCCGTGGAAATATATATACTGGGAATGCATGGTCCCCGTCGAGGCCTCATCTAAGAACACTAGCGGAAGTTTAGATGCTGCACAGCTAAAAAGTGGGATTTTTTTCTTATTTTCTCTAAATAATATTTATTTTATCTTTGCTTAAATTATCAGGCAGAGTGTATTTTGTCTTTACAGTACGTTTTCTTTTGTGTTTCCTTTTCCTCTAATCTTTAATTAAAAGAAATATGAAAGTAATGTTATTTATGTATTGTTTGAGCATTTAAGTGCCTTTTTATTTGTCCTGATAGGGAAAAAACATAAAAATTAAACAAAATAACAAGAAATATTAAGTAGAAATGAAGCGCAAGAAGTGCCAACTTTGAAAGCGTATTGTAAAAATTCTAGACATAGAATCTCAAATCGCCACATACAATTGATAGTTTAATGTCTGATCTTTTATTTAATTGTACTCTGGTGCTTGCACGTTTTGATTAAAGGTAGGCATGCGGCGTTTGAAAATTACCTGTGCTATCCTCTGAAATCAGAAGATAAACTATCCGACATTGCATTGCGATTTCCATATATGGTAAAAAATTTGGCTGCCATATTGAATCTAGCTATCCTCCAAAAACGGAGGCCGCCCAGACCTGTTTAACTTATCATGTCTATTGAAGTTACCACAACACATGTTTCGGTCGAACACGTGTTTACTCGGTGTTTATTTAGATCCTCAATTTGGTTGGCTATTATATTTATGGAAAACCTGTTCGACAGGTATTTGAAGAAACAACTTGGCCGTTTTATCCATTTCTAAAGAAATTGGCGTGTCATAAGATGACAATAAACACTCTAAAGATAGCTCAAAACGTTCCATTCGAACGGAAAATTTTACTACTTCAATGCGCTTCATTGTATGAGTCTGAAAGTGACTTGTCCTATCTCATAGATATAGTTTGTTTCCAGAATACAAGCGCGGTTTTCATCTGGCTAAAACTGAACAATCATTTATACACGGATTTAGCTTCAACGTACATACTAGTACTTGCATATACAAAGACGAAATAACTTTTTATGGGCATGCTCATTTATTAACTTGCTTTGTTTAGTTAAATGACCAGTCTATAGTTGAAGATCAATCTCTTTTGTTTTTCTTAGCATGTTCAAATTGAAGGTGCTTATCTGATACCTTTCAACTGGAGTTGTTTTAATTGAATGCAGTAAGTTTATGTTTAGAAATTTGATGTTTAAGTAGCTACATGTAAAAATGTTTCTTTCAATTTTGAATTCTTACAATTTGTAATTAAAACAACTTCGTTGTAATCGCCACGACCTTGATAATGTTTATAAAGTCAAGTGGTAAAATGTAAGCACATGTGCTGATTGTAACGGTTCTCTAATTTAAACTTTTAGTGATGAATACAAACGATAAATAATATAAAATTAACATAAAATAAAAAAAGTCATTATTTTGATCATCGTAAGAGAAATTTGAAAACGAATTGGGGGTAGGGCTATGTATTTTTTTGATAAACACTTATGTAAATAAAAGATGAGATCACTAAGGATATTTGACGATGCTCCTAAGTATTTTTTTTTCAATATAATCAGATAATTGAGAAATTCAAAGCGTCTCTTTCTTTTTCTAAGATATTGTAAGGGATTTTGTATCTGAACTTGACTTTTTCATTTTCATAGAGACACGGCATGGAATCCATGTCACATGGAGACAGTTTTAGACTTTAAAAACAATTTTCGCAATTTTTGTTTACTAGCAAAATATACACAATTGCTAGCACAAAACTATAATATATATTTGTTTAAACATGTTTAATGAACATGCTATTTCGAAATTTTACAAAATTTTTAAAAGATTAATGATGATATAAATATAAAACAAAAACTAAGAATCCGCATCAATATCTTTAGATTGTAAGTATTATTTTATGTAAAGGAGAAAGTCCGAAAACTGTCCATTCTGTGAGAGAAAGAACTGTTCGAGGCCCGAAGGGCCGAGAATAGTTTTTTCTCTCACAGAATGGATAGTTTGAGGACTTTATCCTACTTAAAACATTTTCTCTATTGTTAACTTAATAAACTGTCCCAGGTGATGGTTATGTATTTGCTATGATTATGTAACACACTTGATTGTCCAGAGAGTGGGGGTGAAAATAATAGCTGTATTGTTTAACTTAATGGACAGTGCCAGGTAAATTTAGATTTAAATGATAGCTCACTTGATTTCCGACCACTTCCCATGTAAAGCTTCATGTGTGAAAATGTCCTCATCGGATGGAGAAAGTAATACATATTTCTCCAAAATACGGGCCAAAGGGTGGTAAATACTGTAGAGTAGGTAGACACAAGCAGAGGCTTGTAGGTTTGCAGATTCTGAAGTTGGTGTTCAAGTTTTGACAAAAACTATCGCAAATCTTTGAACTAACAATCAGGATTTAAGGGACACTGTGATACGAAACATTCTTTGAGAACAACAACGGCGACCCCCTTGTATGAAGTTTGAGGAAACAGTTTATAACAGAAAAAACGGGCCACAAATCTATTACAGTTTGATCCTACAATTGAACCAACAATAAATAGCAGCAGAGAGTAAATGGAATAATTCATGGAAATATGAAGGATTCAGATGATGACAAGTGTATGAAAAGATAAAATTTGTGATCTCTGTCCCAAAAATGATTCCACCTGCAGTGCATCTAATGAGTTTATCATTTCATTTGGAAATAAGCCTTTTTCTTTTAAAATTTAAATTGCTGTTGGATATATTTTAAACATTCATGGAATGGATCTACCACGTCCAGCAATCATTTACAAAATTTGTGAAGAGGATGAGACGTCTGTTTTTTTTAATAAAGAAACTTCTGGATGTGGATGTTTTAAAATTTTTATGCATCAGGATTTACACATGTGTCTTTTTTGCATTGGATTTGTCATTTCCAAAGATGATATACTGTTGAACATTTCATATACAATTGTTTGATATTTATGCATGATTGTGCATTAAATTAAAAATTTAATTGCCTATTTAAATTATGTATCGTTTTCAACATTTAAAACCTGTACATTAAGTTACCTTTAACTGTACATTAAGTTGACAAAACGCTGTCGATTAAGTTAAGAATTGAGAGTTTTCTCAACTTAATGTACGGTTACAGGTGACTTAATGTACAGGTTTTAAATATCCAAATCTATTATGCCATATAATGTACTAAAACACAAAGGATTACATAACAAAAATGTTTTAAGTCACACTTTAATGACATTGGCAATGTTTTAACTTATCTTTAATATCTTATGCCATTTAAAGTCTTGATATTTATATTGCTTCTTATATCAGACAATCAAATAATTATGCAATCTGTAGATCTGATTCTTTCAAATTAAACTAATCTCATTGTTGTGTCATAACTAATATTTTGAAGTAAAACGTAAAAAATAAAGCACATGTTCTGAATTATAAATTGTTAGTTAATAAGAGTATATTAACCTTATTAGTGAATATAACACTACTGTACCATTATTTGAAATTATCTAAGGAATATAACTTTCTTGTTACCGTTTAAATTTATAATTGCTTTTGAATTCATTTTATTTTTTAAAAAATGCTTTTAAACCTCCTAAGAAGTTATAAATAGTAAGAGTAAAAAGGAAACTGTTCTGATGTAATTCTTGTATCTATTTTGCTTCCTTTTGTTGTGAAACATTAGACCCATAGAAAGCAGTTTCAGATTGGTGTAGTCACTATAAAAGGTGTCATTGACATTTAAATGATGACGTATAATTAGGAATTTACAGTATCGAGCATTGTAAAAATGTAGTTTCATTAGTTAAAATATTTTCCAAATGTAAATTGAATATTTTTTTAGTTTTTTCCTAAACAGGTCACCATGTCAGATGTAGTATTCGGATTTTACGCCTGCATTGCATTCGTTGTAATAGTATTTTTTAATGTTGGGTTCTTCACGCCAAACTGGCTAACTGTGCAAGAAACACCAGCCAACTCTTCCAAGCCTTCTGTCAACTGTTCCAAGCCTTCAGTAACCTCTTACACGCCGGCAGTCAACTGTTCCAGGCCTTCGGTCAACTGTTCCACGCCTTCGGTATCCTCTTACATGCCTGCAGTCAACTGTTCCAAAACTTCCGTGAACTGTTCCACGCCCTCGGTCAACTGTTCCATGCTTTTAGTAAACTCTACCGCGTCTTCAAGAATATGCAACTATGGCCTGTTTTACAGTGTTGATTGCCCAAATGATGAGAAGGGTGAGACCTTATTTGCTTTATTATTAAAATATTAAATAAAAAATGAATATTTTTTAAGAATGTCAAAATATTTATTTTCCTTAGTCGATTATTCGATAGCATTATTTGACAAATAGTCGAACATTCGAAACATTTTTCTGATTTTTTTCAATTTCAAACTTTAATAGTACATGACTCATTATAACTCGTTATAAAAGCAAATCGTAATTTATGCAACGTAACGCTTGGAGGAAATGAATCAAGAAAATTAATTTCCCAAAAGGGAAAACATACTCGTAATACTTTATTTAGAATTGATTTTGTACCTTACAATGTGACTATGTTTTGTAGCTTTTGACTGGACCATTATTGGACTGAATATTGCCACGTCTGTGTGTTTGACGGTCATTCCTTTCTTCTGGTGTCTCCTGTCATGCATGCTTTGCTGCAAAAAAGACGACTCAGACGACGCATGCGCTGACGGTTGCTGCAGTTGTTACACGTTCTTTTATGCTGCTGGAGGTCAGAATGGCAGATTGTTTGTGTGTCTGTTTTTTTTATTTCCTATTTAAACCTATCATTCAAGTCAAGTTTAGACATCAAAGTATTTAGGTAAACAGTCTGTTAGGAATACAAGGTAAAAAAAAATAGATAATGCAGACTGATTACTATTACATGGCAATTCAAAGACGAATCTCCTTATTCATGTCTGCAAAGAAACATATGGAGATAACAAACAGTATTCAAGATCAGAAGTCCATAAAATAAGAGCAGAGCAAACACGGACTGCAAAGCAGATAATAAAGTAGAAGTGTAGGTACATGTTACCAACCAGACCCATATTCATGATCCCTTTGAATGCAAATAGTTTAAACTACACACTCTTATTTTGTAGGTATCCTGGGCTTTGCGTCAACTTTGATTGTGGTTTCAAAATTTGATAACAGTCAGTTGGGGTGGTCTTTCTTTCTGACAGTTGCAGCAACTTCAGTGATTTTGTTACAGGTAAAAAACTCATACACATCCATCTTTTTTAACATAAAAATTCTATTTAAAACAGTTATAACAATTTTTTAGTTGCTGCTCTTAGTCACTGTCTTGTATACTGTTGAAAAATGACGGACAAATTGACAAATATTTTCTATTCATAAACATACATGTTTATTAAATATGCATTATTTTTTTTATGAAATTGTCATTTTTTTATTTTTAGTTTGTGCTTTTAATCACCTACTTTGTTTGCTCTCGAAAAATGAACGAAAAATGCACGGTATTCCTTGTCTATAGAAGACGACATTCCTAATTGTTACGTTTGAATTAAACTTTGTAAGTATCCAGTGTTTTAATAACCTGTTGTTGTTTTTGCCAAAATAAACTTTTTATAAGTGTTTACTGAGTTAAGTATTTTCAAAGCTTATAAAGAAAATTTTGTACAAAAATATTATTTTTAGTCATTTTTTTTTACTTATTTTCACACAAAATACATTGCATTTTTATAAATAGATCTCATTCCCGATAATACATCACTGCGATCTCTCCTATTTTTGAAATTTATGATGCCTTTCCACCTTCTGCCGTGAAAATCCCTTGAAATTGCTCTGGAGATTTTTTTTCTTTTTACTGAATTATTTTTTGTTCAAAGGTTTATTTAAAAGATTTTCTCCTTCATCAAAGAGTATTTCAAAAATACGAAGACCTTTGTCCCAGCCTCTTTTACTTAGTATAACTGTCATGTCACATGATTTGGTCATTATCGCAGAACCTCTAAAATAGTACACCGAACTAAGAGAAACAAAGAACTTCAACTTATTAGCTATTAACCCTTAACAATTTTTTATGTTGACGTTAAAACGTTAAAAAAAATTTAAACGATAAAGTCATGAAATATAAAAATAATAAATTGTATTCAAGGTCATAAGTCCACTGGAAAAATACAAATTGGGACCAGAGCAAACACAGATCTCTAAAACACCAGAGGTCTGATCAGATACCATGGAGGAGGAAGCATTCTCTGTTGACCGTTCACGTCCGCCATGTACCCCTTCTCATGATCGGGCAAATTAAAATTTGACAATGCAGTGTGAAATTGTGGCCTGACAATTTATATGAAAAACGTCAGACAGAATTTGGCTTAACGATATATTGTATTTGCTAATAAGGTCATTGTATCGAACAATCAATTTGCAAAATTTACTGTAAATGGGACTGCTGATATCCATTTATCATCAATTTATTTGTCAATAGCTTGTCTCATTTTAGAAAATATTCCGACGCTGAGCATAACTTTGCGTATCAAATAAACTGGGAAAGTTTATCTACATATGCTAATGATAATTATATATCTACTAAAATAAGGGAAGTTGATAATAGAACAGTATATCCCATTCCGTGTTGCCGCAAGTGTTTTGGTGTAGGTTGTCATTAATGTCTTTTTTTAGTAAGCTATCCAAACAGATATGTTAGACTGTGTTGTTTCTTTTACTCTAGGTAACAGAGATACAAAGCGATATTGTTAATTGATAAAACGTCGTCGAAATATCTAAATATAGTACTGAAAGTCACAGCAAGAAACTTCTTCTATTCATGCAGAAGATATCTGATAAATTGTGCTTCATATGAAGACAAAAATAGGTCTGCTAATAACAAGGCACAACTAGTAGTTCTAGTACCCATGAAAATTCTAACAAATTTTTGGAAGGGTTGTTCTCTAAACAATAAGTCAATTTTTATCATTTTTTGCACAAAAATTTAAAAATAACCGTCATGCTTGATGCATTTCCATGCATATATTAACATTTTTTTCTTTTTTCTTCTTACAGTGAGCTTGGCACCGAGTATCCTAAAAGATGATGAGAACATCTGACTTTATAACAATTTAGCTTTTTATTAAAACATTCTTTTCGTTAATAGAATTGATTTAATATTCAGTACATCGGTTTGTTTGTTTTAAAAATTTGCACTCATATTGAGACGCCCCCACTTGTCGATTGAGGTTTCAAATTTAGAAATTTAGAATAAAATGCTTCTTTGTTTAAAATAAATGTTATGAGAATGAATATCTTTAAAATGGATGTATAAAGTATTTATCAATTTGATACCCAAAGGTCTACATAACCATGTACCAGTTTGTAGACGTGCAATGGATTTTTGGAATCTCGATTTTGTCTCAAGCAACCCTAGCAATACCCCCTTTCCCCGTCAGAATGGAAATCTCCAATTTTTCCCTATCACAGTAGCAAGACAGTTTTTCAATGCCTATTATATTATAATCTACTGTATGTACACCTGAATTAAAAATTAAAATGAGTAGCCACAGGATCATTTGTTTCCCTTCTAATTAAAGACAAATTCAAAAAATGTCTTTGATATAAACTATCACCTGTTTCTCCCACATACACTATTTTGTCACACTTTTTACAAAAAATTTCATAAACAAAATTCCTTCATTTACAATTAATATAATTTTTCACTTGAAAAGTGTTACCGTTATTATCTTCAAACTGGCTGGTTTTCACAACAAATTTATACAAAATACATTTTTTAGCACCACACGGCTCACATAAATTTCTATTTTAAAAAGATAAATTGTTGTGTTTTTTATACGCTAAAATATCTTTCAAATTTTTGTCTCTTTTATAAGCAACGATTGGGGTGTTTTCGAATGCAAGGGGAAAACAATCACATCGCGTTTTTTTTCCATAATTAAGAAGATCCGAGCGATTGAGTTCGTCGACTTTCGTAAGTTGTTTTTCTACTTCGTTGCTAGAATATCCTCGTTTTCGCAAGTTCTTTTTCACTTTATCACGTTGGTTCTGATAATAATACGAAAAATTGTTATCATGTACTAGTTAGTACTCTTTTTAAAGCGGATGATTTTTACAATACAGATGTGGTATACATGCACTTATTTTATAGCTATTCTGCTATATGTAAAATATACCGGGTAATCCGGATATTATATTTCTCCTCATATATTTGAAAGAATTTAAAAGTCCGATGTCTGTGCCAAACCTCTATGGTTTGGCATCGGTACGGACGCCAAAGTCCCATGTTGACGCGATTGTCCGATGGCTTGTACCCCAAGAGACATGCCGCGCTACAATGCGATGCACGGACACGCCAAATTCATATCCTGCGGTGAAACATTCAACACTTATAATGTCACAATATTCCGACCTCAATCGACTAAAAAAGGTAAGTATCGCTACCAGCAAAATGATTTATGACCTTTCACACTATCGATAAGAGGTGGTCCCTCTCCCAAGCAGAATGCTACACATTTTTCGGCCGATTAAAGGTAGCCTCGAAACTACAGGAGAGATTAGGGTCAGCTTTATAACCGCTTGAGAAATTAGCGCTAATAGCACAAATATAATTTTGCATATTGTAGTAAACCATGCCATTTCACTTTGGCCAGCAATATAATCGATATTCATTAATCTGGTATATATTTTAAACCATCGGATATTGGCGCAGCTTTGAAATTGGGATTAGCAGTGCTATGAAGTTTAAATTAATATATCAGTTGTGATTGTGTCATTTTGTAAATTTTGAATTTATAAGGTGGCAATAAATTCAAAATTTACAACATGACAATATAATTGGTGGAAATTGTACTTTAAATGCGCAAATGAACAAAATATTGTGAGGTAGTATCGATTTTAGAAGCAATGTTTAACATGTTTTCTTTGCTTATCATACATTTTTAAAAGGCTAGACAGACACTTGACGATTAAAATATGTGTGTTGCGAAGTGATTTTCTCAATTTCAAAATGTCCGATATAGTCTTTGGGTTTTTCGCCGCAGTTGCATTTATTGTCATTATCCTTTTTGATGTTGGAATTGTAACACCTTACTGGATAACGGTAGAAGTGACTATTCCAAATTCTACAAGATTTCAGGTTACAGCTTACACAGCAATCGGTAAATGTTACCATTTGCAATTTTTATCCCCCAAAAATCTGTACTTCAATATCATGAATATATATTAGCCTTTAATAAGGGGAACAATTATCTTCCATAATGCCTTATATACTCTTGAAATGTTCAGGTATAATCATTGCCATATACATGTATATATATTAGTCACTTTTTTGTTAATGTACACTTTGTCACTATGATAACTTTTTCTTATCCGATAATATTAAGTCTTCAAAATATAGCTGTAATGAGAGACGATCTAGTTTTAAATCTCAAGTTAAATAATACAACAATGAAATTTTTTCCCATTATGTCCTTGTTCGTTGTTGCTTATAGCTATTTGTAAGATATTTGTGACATATACTTTGAGATCATAACATTAATGTTACACAACATTTACCTAATACCTTTTGATTTTTACAGTTTTCGATAATTTAGTCATATGGCTTAATGTAGCAACTTCCTTGTGTCTGACCGTCTTTCCTTTGTTCTGGAGTTGTATCAGGTGTATCATTTGTTGCCGAAGCAGCAATGGAAATGAAAATAGCCGAGAATGCACAGATAGTTGCTGTAAATGTTACTCTTTACCTTACACTCTTGCAGGTGAGCACACGTCTATAGATTTATAGATGATATGTGAATGGGCTTTGTTAACTTTGTAAAACTAAAGGTGATTCATGTATGTAAAGGATAAAAATATTGTATTAAAACGGTACTTATCGAAACGGGTGAAGTTTGTCCAGTACTAGTATTTCAAAGTACATGCCTATTAAAATAAAGCGAACTTGTGCTTTCGAAACATTATATATATATATATATATATAATCAAAAAGTTTGATAAAAAATCCACACAAGTATTTAAATAGTAAAAAATAACAGAACGCCGATTAAAACTCTACCGGTTTCAATTGTATCATCAGGAGTTTTGACATATTGCTATAGATACAAACATTTCAAAGTATATTGTGACGTCATGTAACGTCAAAAGTGTTGCGCTTTAGTACAGTTCATTGTGACGTCATTATGTTACGTTATTACGTTAACAGTTAGACAAATAATGCGGGAAAATTGTAAATTGTCTATTATGACAGGGCGTTTAGCTTTGGTTTAAACAGTGAAATAAAATGTTTTTCCTTGGTTTCACGTTCCTTTTCGGAAGTCTTGTTATAGAACTTGTATATAGGAAACACTGTAAAATTAGGAAAAATGTTTTCAGCACATGTTCTAATATGTCCGCTCACGGCAGTGCACTGGTATTCAGTTTGACGAATTTGTTGACGATGGACGGTCATGCGGTGTCTTAAGGTGTCCCCGGTTTGGCCAATATAATGCTCGCCGCATCCTGAACATGTCATGACATATATCAAATTTGAACTTTCGCAGGTAAAAGAAGAATGAATAACGAATTTTCTTCCGTTTTTAAAAAGAAATTGTTCGGTTTCCTGTAAAAAGGGACAGGTTCCACATCTTGGATGATGACATTTTTTAACACCGGCTGTTTCCTCTGTATTGTTAAATTTGGCTCGTGTTAAAATCTTCTTTAAGGATGGGCTCTGTCTTTTACTTTTGATCAACTGAAATTCACTGAATACGTCTTTCATCCTTGGATCATTCTCTAAAACTGGCATGTTGGTTTTGATGACTTGGAAAAATTCTTGATTTTTTGGATTTTTTTGAGTTTTAGAGAATGATCCAAGGATGAAAGACGTATTCAGTGAATTTCAGTTGATCAAAAGTAAAAGACAGAGCCCATCCTTAAAGAAGATTTTAACACGAGCCAAATTTAACAATACAGAGGAAACAGCCGGTGTTAAAAAATGTCATCATCCAAGATGTGGAACCTGTCCCTTTTTACAGGAAACCGAACAATTTCTTTTTAAAAACGGAAGAAAATTCGTTATTCATTCTTCTTTTACCTGCGAAAGTTCAAATTTGATATATGTCATGACATGTTCAGGATGCGGCGAGCATTATATTGGCCAAACCGGGGACACCTTAAGACACCGCATGACCGTCCATCGTCAACAAATTCGTCAAACTGAATACCAGTGCACTGCCGTGAGCGGACATATTAGAACATGTGCTGAAAACATTTTTCCTAATTTTACAGTGTTTCCTATATACAAGTTCTATAACAAGACTTCCGAAAAGGAACGTGAAACCAAGGAAAAACATTTTATTTCACTGTTTAAACCAAAGCTAAACGCCCTGTCATAATAGACAATTTACAATTTTCCCGCATTATTTGTCTAACTGTTAACGTAATAACGTAACATAATGACGTCACAATGAACTGTACTAAAGCGCAACACTTTTGACGTTACATGACGTCACAGTATACTTTGAAATGTTTGTATCTATAGCAATATGTCAAACTCCTGATGATACAATTGAAACCGGTAGAGTTTTAATCGGCGTTCTGTTATTTTTTACTATATATATATATATATATATATATATATATATATATATAGAACTGATTGAAAATTAAAAAAAAAAATTTCGACAGATAGGTAAGTGCTTAAGATAGACGTTTTATTTTGTGTTTGTAGTTTAGTTCCTTATGATATATCGTCATAAAATGCTTTCTACACGAAAAAGAGTAAAATATGTGCTATTGAATTTTTTTTAATGTAGGAATTTTAAATAAAAAAATCTCATAATAGATTATAACTTATATCTTTATAAATCCCATGTCTGTAATATTCAGTTGCACTCTACAAAAAAGGAGAAAATTAAATTATGACATTTGATGTGCTTTCCCCGGAAACCAACTGGTAATTTACTTCTCTTATATGTATATAGTATCACTTATTGCAATAATGCAGTGCAAAGTCAAACTTAACAACACAGATTTTAGTGATGGTAATCAAAATATTAATAAAGTTTTGATTTGATACCAATATAAATGTATATTATGTGATGTCCATGACATCTATTTATCTATAACTTTGACGATAAAGCTCGATTTTATAGACGTTAATAAAAACAATCATATATTTTAGGTCTTCTTGGATTTGCATCCGTCCTGACAGTGGTTGTTAAATTTGGCCTTAAACAACTTAGATGGTCGTTTTATCTTACCGTTGCCTCAACCTCTGTTATTCTTCTACAGGTATACTTCTTAAAGAACTTGATAATTTTTATTACTATGCCAAGGGAATAGATTTTAAGCCAATACTAACCTTTTTTAGACTGTGCTTCTGATAGTATATTCTGTACGGTCCAGAAACACAGATGAAAAATGTACAATATTTCTTGTGTACAGACGACGGCATTCATCTAAGTAAGTATTTTACCTCTGGTAATATGCATTATTATATGATTGAATAATTTCCATCTCTTTGATTGGCTGAGATCCTACTATGTTAGAAAAATACTACGTTGTATTGACCTGCACGTGACGTTCCAGGTCAATACAAGGATATATTTCCTCCATATTGATCTAAATATAGATTGGGAAATTCCAAATTGATACAAATTGTTTTGGAAAGCTATTTAAACGACTCTGATTTTTTTTTTTCATGTGAACAAAACATAAGCTAATATATATTTTAGGGTGAGGATGGTAAGAGGGGATGCAGGGACCCCCCTCCAACACTTTTACTGATCAACAATTTTCTTTTACTTTTTGGCAGTCAGTTTTCCCTCATAATATTCCTTCCTTTCAAAATCTATCCTATAAAAAAAGACTGACATTATATATTTCTTTCATAGCAACTAAAATTGATTTAAAAAAAAAACATTTCAAATTGATACGACTGGTAAAGTTTATTTTAAATCTGCTTCTCTCTTGTATTTGGATAGGACTTAATGAAATGCAAAACAAGTAATGAGCTGTATCACTTTATCAGTGAATCATATAATAAAACAGTTATTGCTGTTTTTTTTCGGTCAATACAATGCTTTAGCCATCTTCGAAGTACAATATTCAACTCGCCCTTCGGGTTCGGTGAATATTGTACTCCTCAGATGGCTAAAGCATTGTATTGACCTCAAAAAACAGCAATAATTAAGGTCTTCCGTCTTCAGCGGAAGACCTTCTTGTTATTCTTAGGTTTCTTTTTCACTTTTATTATTATTATTATTCTTTTTTTTCTTACCGATTTTGTGCACGCGATTTCTCAAAAACGGCTCGATGGATTTCCATGAAACTTTCAGGACTTATGTAACATAACTTGAACCTTATGCATTTTTTTCCGATTTGATGACGTCACTTCCGGTTTAGAGAAATTGTCGATTTTATGATTTTTGAAGGGTCAGGTTGTCTCCAGACTTTCTCAATAATGGCTCAAGATAGAATCATGAAACTTTGAGGTATGATAGATCAAAGTCTATAGATATGTATAAAGCATTTCATTTTTTTCGGAAGTGCCGCACGTCGGGGCTCGCTATGGCCCGAAAATTGTCGTATCGCGAATTTCAAAATTTTTAACACCTTTTCTACGATATCTTTTTACCTGGAAATATTTTGTTAAAACATATAGAACAAAAGAAGTGTAGAGTTCCAAGATCTTTCAAATGATATCTTGTAAAAGGGTCTGGCCCCTAAAATGAGGGGCCTAGAGGGGCCGAAAGTTTTTTGTTCATATCTCAAAAAGTATTGAGAATTTGTAAAACGTCAAAGAAGCAAAGTTGTTCAAAATGTCATGCTTTATCTACTGGAGTTGTCAAAATACGTCCAGCGTCGTCACTTCCGGTCAAACCGGAAGTAGTCGGAAAACGCGTTTTTTAGCCGTTCTTGACAAGTTTTGGATAACATATGTCTCTGGGAGCATAAAAATTAATTTTCCGTCCGTCGGCGTTACTTCCGGTCAAACCGGAAGTAGCCAAAAATAGGTTATTTCGAAGGTTTTTGATGCAAAATTGAAATTATAAAGTCACTGGAGACGACTTAGCTAATTGCTTTCTTTTTTGATGTTACTTCCGGCACTTCCGGTCAAACCCGACGGAAGACCTACTCGTTGCTTTGCAACGAGCTTTGCTCTACAGTGTAGTTGTATAATATTATTTTGAATCAAAATACTTTAAATTTATGAAATTTCAAGATTTACCTCATGTTTCTAAATATATAATTTTTCAATTCAATGGAAAATATATTAAAGAAATAAAACTACTAAAGCATACAATAATCATACTGTGAATGATAAATAATTTTCTTTTTCTTTTTAGAGGAAGAGCAAATAACT